CAACGATCTCTTCTTGAGCGATATAGAAGAGGCCTTCATGGCAATCACAGCTTCGTTGACAAAAAAGTCTGAGAAAATGACTTCTTCTCAGCAACGCGTCGTACAGCTTGGCTTAATTAAAGGCAGTGATGAAACTGAGGCCATGATCTCTTCGCGCTCTTTCCTGTCGTCCTGTGAGCTCAAGGAGGCCAGTATTAAATGCGAATGTCTGCTGAATTTGCTGCAAACAAAAGGTAGGTATATATAAAGTCATTTTAGGCGACCTAGGGTGAATTAAGTTCTTATTTATTATATACTGACATTCTCAAGGGCCTACTTTTTTCGAATATACATAACCTCGGAAAGGTCTCAAAAGGCCTTCCTTGTTCTTCGACCTCTGTTGGTGTTGTCATGTATTCTTCTAGCAGGAGATCTGCCTGCGGCATAGTTGAAATCGTGAATAAGTAGCATTAAACGACCTACAAAGTGACCAGCAAGAGATATCAATAAACTTTGTAATTTACTAAGAGTTTTAGTCACCCTAGTGCACATAAATAGATAGAGCAATTGTTGTGATGACTTTTATTTCGTATGAAAATGCAGGAAGCAGATATTTGTAGGCTGACCACACTGGCAGACGAAGGTAGAATCGCGTTGTACTGCAGCCGCTTGACTTTAATACACGTTCAGATTGACGCAGTCCACGAGATATCCTCCCTTGTTTCCGTTGAAAACGCGTTGATCTTTCGTTCATTATGTGATGGACATCTTTGGAGCTGTAACTCATTGTAAAAATCTCATGTTAACAAGCACTAAATCAGGCAGATTATCTGGCACTATCTTACGGCATATATATGCTCATAAATAAAAAGAAAATGTATATACATTGCTAGATACGTAATGATTCGGCTAATTATCTTTCATATTGGTCATGCTATTTTTACCTTAGTGTGTACATCCGTGTGTCAAAGTCTATACGTCCTAAACCAAAATGAATAGAATAGTTATTAGGTCCAATGGTTATCGTGGTAACATCGCCATGATACTCACGATCCGGTACCAAATTCAACTGGGCGTACTATCTAGACCTAGGCAGTCCATCTTGGATGAGATAAACCTTTATGAGAGTCAAAGTCAAGTGAAATTCAATGTCATTGTGAGTTCTACTCACTTTATTATGGTAAAACGTAATTATAAATACTTAATATCTAGGCTAACTAAGCCCTTGCACAAGGAATACAAAGAGAACGGGGTTTTGAAGAGTTTACTGGTGGCCGGTATTGCATATACACGTTAACACACAGACAGAGACACAGATACACTTAAGTAAAAGTACAATAACTAACATAAAAGATAAGTATTGAGCTTACTTCCATTTCGAATGAAAGTGTTCGGTGAAGAGATTCGAAAGTCTATCCCACAAGAAGAGGATGGCGGATTACTTTTGACCAGCTGTCGATTGGTTTTACTGGAACATTATTGTTGACGCTTGTTCCGAGGCAATCTCCTTGGATTCCGGTGAAAATATGCTAAGCTTTCGTCTGTCATATGACAGATACCATCCTTTCAGCCATATTCAAGCTAACGAGTCACGAAAACTCACCGGCTCATCCCGAAATGCTGTATATATACTCTATACCTGAGCTTATTGATGAGGTTTAAAAAACTTTGATTAATTAATGCCATATGTCACCCTTGAGCATGTAAATGTGTGTGTGCGTATGCACATATATGTAGCAGACAAGCAATGGGGGCTCAAAGTAACTATAACAGAAAAGTAGCGTCTGTTTGCGGTAATCAAGGTTTGATTTCCACCATCTATGAAATATTTGTCACTTAGAAAGATCCGAATTAATTTATTCAATTCTCCTTCCCAGATTCAACTCTTTTATATTTTTGTTTTGAGTTATGCCGACCCTAGTTCGTTTAAGGTGATAAAGGACTGATAGTTGAATTTTCTTACATTGCCACACATGTCCTTCGGTCACAAGGCAAATATGTTTTTCCATATCACATTCTGTCGTGGGATTGTCGATGATGCAAAGTTATATTTGCTATAGCAATTGAAGACATTACTTATATTTCGTTTTTGAATAGGTATTGTGGCCCATTAATGTTTTCACTTTTATATTATCCCACTTTTTAAATCTTCGTATTTTACTCTTTACCTGTCATACTTAGTCACAGCAATACTGTCTCTGAGTAATCGTTTAGCATTTCACCCTCATAAAAATTAAATTAAATTAATCTTTACAGGAGAATGCATGACAGAGGCTGAGCTTTCGGACTACCTCGCTGTGCTTCTTGGACTCGCAGCTGAAGGCTGTTATATTGAGGCCAGTGACAAGATGCCCCCCCCCAACCTCAGTAGCATTCTGGAGTCTCGATTGCCTATCGAATTCACAGCAGCATCATTCGCTCAGACCCTTTTAAATGTGTCAAATTTTGACTCAAATCAAAGTTCCGGCTCTCATACCAGTGAATGCAGAGCTGCTAACACATCCAGCATGTCGGAGCGAGCTCGAGAGGAGTCTGGGAGATTTTTGGAGGGAAGTTCAGCAGATGATGGCTTTAATGGCAGTGGTGGTATCACTGCGGACAATAGCTGTATATGTAGTGGCGGCTCTTTCCTGGAAGGGCTTCGTAGTGAATCCCGTGGGGAGGAGGCCGAAATAGATGAAAGAGTCTCTTCAGCTGTGCGGCCCAAGCTGACTTTCAGGGATGTAAACCACACTCACCTGACCCGGAGCCTTCAAACTGAATAAGATCTCCAAAATATGTCAACAATTTCGCATCTACCTACTCATACACGCATGCATAAACTTTTTCATGTCAATTATGCTCTTGCTTTTATCTCTTTATTTTAGAGGCTAAAAAACTTCGAACCCGAATATGCAGGCCAAAAGTGAGACATTTCAAAGTTAGCATAAAGCTTTCTCAAAAGTGAAATTTGAATCAAGTCTACTCTTATTCTAACAACATACCTTGTCGATATACCGACATTTTGGAGAACAAATATACATATGTATGCACTATTACAAACCTAAGAATATAAATGCGAGTTGCGTAAATGATTCAATTTGGTAAAGCCATATATTTTTACCTGCAAGCACTCTTAGATTCTGCTCTATTCGTGTTGGCACTTGCCCTTAATTTCTAAGCAGTAGTCGAATGCCTTGCTTAGAAGTGGTCAGACAACTTCATTAAGATTTTTTCTAATGACTGAAGAAAAGTGCGGAAAAATTAAGTTCTTCTTAACGTTACATTCTACTAAGCTCTACCGAGTAATTATATGGAAGATACTCCACTCTCCTACTTCTTTAATAGCCTGTAAAGGCAATGCCTTTTGAACGCATACTCTCTTGGCTCTTAACAATGAATGCTGTAATGACAAAATAAGCGATACAACTTAATGATATTATTTAATATTTCTTTGATACGAAACATGTACATGAATATTTAATTGATATATTAGGGGGTTAATACAGTCCGCCAAGTATGCGGCATTTGAAAAAACATCTGTCTCTAAAATTCTGTCGTTGGAATTTACTGTAATTAAAAATGCACATACCCTCCATTAAATATCTAAGGTTCATTTTTGGCCACCTATCTGCAGAAATATTAGCACTGTCTAATGAGTCTAATTAACTTGCTTGTTCTAATGAAATTTAAAT